ACTTTTTAAAAGTATTTCTAGAACTTAAACTTCTCATAAATATATATATTTTTTTAAAAGTAGTGTTTGGAGTCGCATCACCACCACCCCCACCCCCACCATCATCACCCAACCACCACCAACAACACCACCGCTATTGTCACCCTACCAACACCATCATCACTGTTGCCTCCACCCTTCCATAACCACCATCCTCATTGCCCCAGCACCATCGCCCCACCATAATCATCACCACTACCACCGTTGCCACACCTTATCACGACCGCCATTGTCCTACCTTCACCTTTGCCATCACCATTCCCACAGCCTACGACCATCACCATCGTCGCCACCCCACCACCACCCCCGCTGCTTGACCACCACCCTCATTATTGCCACTGCCCTACCTCCTCCCCCACCCCCACCCCCACCACCCAACATCACTCACCACCATTGTTATCTTATTATTATATTTATTATCATTACCATTATCATCCAACTACCACCGTCGCCCACCTTCAACACCCATCACCACCATTGTTGCCTACCGTCACCCACCATCATCTATCGTCGCCCACCATTGCCGTCAGCCACTATCACCTACCCCCACCACACCTACCATCATCACTTGTCATTGTCCACCACTACTGTCACCTACCCCCATCACACCTACCATCACCACCACTACCACCGCCATTCACCACCGCCCATTACATTGTCGCCTAGAAGCACTCGTCGTCGCCCACCACTACAACCCATCACCGCCACCGCCACTGTCACCCACCATTACCATCGCCCACCACCACTACTGCCACTACCACCATCGTCACCTAAAACCCACCACTACTATTACTGTTGCCACCTCCACTACAGTCGTCGCCATCCACCACAATCATCACTGTATCCCACCACCACTAGTGCCGCCCACAACCATTACCATCGCTCACCCCCATTGCAATCGGTGTTCAAATTTCTTTCTCTATCCTTTATGCTTGTGATTTAATTTTGAGTATGAATACAAATATGTTTATTGTTAACAATTTTTTTTATTACTCCGTGCCTTTAGACACGGGCAATAACTAATATTTTATATCATAGAATATCCATAAACACTAAATCAGTTATCATTTATCTTACATTTGTGCTTGATTTTTTATTATCTAAAATAATATATAATTATAAATTCATATATACGCAGTTAATTAATATGCATTTTATATTTGTGCTATATGTACAATTTGAGATTGTACATTTTGGTAATCTAGATCGCGAATGCCACCCGTTTGGAATAAATGTACTCAGATCGTGGGTCGTCAGGAGTTTAGTGAATTCTAGTAACTATGTGTCTACAGTCCAAGCTTGTAATGATTCAGAATTGAATAAATCCTCCCACACCAATTCGTGTGTTGATGCTCTCATTATATAGAGTAAATTGATTACATGGGAAGTTTCCATATCCTATAATATCAGCTATAGTGTTGGATACAAACTACAACACTTTGGGAACCTATAGTTTCAGTGAGGAGTCTAGCTCAGGTTGTTTGTTTGCTGCATCACATTCATGTTTTGGTTTATCTGTTTCATGAGGATTAGGATTATCCTTTACACACCCCTACAAGTTCAACGTGGAGTCCACATTGAGCTTGGACTTTAGCGTAGCAAATCGTGTAGAAACAAGCGGCTTTGTGAAAATGTTAGCGATTTGGTCCTTAGTTGAGAAAAAACCGAACTTGGAGATCGTGAAGAGCAACTTGCTCTCATCCCACTACCTTTTCTTCCTTCATCTTCTCCCGAATTTGCTCCTACACCCTACCCCGACTATGAAGTCTGGTGTCTCCAAGATCAATTGCTCTTGAGCACTCTTGTCTCCTCCCTATCTGAGAGCATCATGCCTCATATTGTTGGTATTCCAATATTGAGAGAACTTTGAATGACCCTTGAAGACATGTTCTTGTCCCACGCAAACTCGCGGATTGTACAGCTCCACTTGCAACTCTCTACCATGAAGAAAGAGACCATGTCAATTGCAGATTACTATCAGAAGGTGAAGATTGCTACAGATACTCTTGCTGCTATCGGCCAGCCCCTCCAAGACTCTAAAACTGTCTCTTACTTACTCGTTGGTCTGGATGCGACCTATATAAAATAAATTGAATGCATGGGAAGTTTCCAGATCATATAATATCGGCTATAGTGTTGGATACAGACTACAACACTTTGGGATCCTATAGTTTCAGTGAGGAGTCTTGCTTGGGTTGTTTGTCTGCTACATCACGTTCACATTTTACTTTATCTGTTGCATGAGGATTAGGATTATCCTTTACACGAGCTAGACTCCTCACCGATTCTCTTCGGTTATTCCGCTCCCATTAACCTCTGTAGGTGACCTTCATCTCCTACCCGTGTCCTCTCCTCTCTCGAAAACACATCACTGGTGTCTCCCCCTCCTAGCTCAGGTTGTTTGCTGTTGTATCACATTCACGTTTTGCTTTATCTGTTTCATGAAAGATTAGCATTATCCTTTACAAAGCTTATGATGTCTTGTAACAACAATTTCTGCTCCTTGTTTTCTTTTCGGATAAGTAATCCTGCTTCTTGTCATCAATAATGTAGTCCATGGTTTGCTTGATGCGATCTTCAAGTTACTTCTTGATGCTAATGCATCAAGGACTGGTTTTATTGATTTTATGGTGGCAATCGATGACACTCGTGACGGCCATAGTCTAATATTATTGGTTATCATATTGAAGCATCACTCTACCATTACTGTTCCAAAGTCTCTGAAACCAATCTAGAATGCCTTGATCTGTTTTTCTTTGTGACTGTTCATTCCACAGTTTTCATCATTCATTGCTCCAAAGATACTGCTATGATTCCTATCAAAACAAGATAGTGCTATGACACACATTCGCCAAATCACAAAAAAAATTGCACTTTACTTTTGCAAGGGTCATGCACACTTATATGCCAAGAGACAATGATCAACTGTCTTTGAAGGTATACAACAAGATCCTAACTCTTATGTATCCCAAACCATTAGGAATGGATATAATCAGAAGTTGACTGCAGACTGCTTTGAAAAAAAAAGTAGAAAATAATTGTGGTTTCCTTTGGTAACAAACACCTTCCCATGGAATTTTTAGAGTCCTAGACACTGTTGCTCAGAAATTTGCAAAGTTGCAGCACAAGGATGAGACATTACTCAATAAATTTGATAGTAATTTCGTACTGATAAAAATAAGGTGATCATGAGGTTTTGAAAGGGTAATATGTTGTCGGGTTAACTGTGCTTCTTTGTTTGGTATGATCCGTTGTCTATCTGCATTCAAAGTTTTATTATGTTGTTTGAAAAGCGCATATATTTTGAGAAAGGTTAAGTTGAAATTTTATTTTGTCCACTGTGGATTATATTCAGGTTTTGGCAGTTTTCTGCCATCTCTGCTTTACACAGTGTTTCTAACATCAACTTCTTTACAAATTTTAAACTGTGAATTAGTTGGAACTACTTAAAAGGTTGGCCAAACTTCCATTAATGCAGGTGGTAAAAATTAGACTGCAGCAGCAGAGAGGATTGAGCCCTGAGCTTTTAAAGTATAAGGGTCCTATACATTGTGCTCGACTGATCATCCATGAAGAAGGCATCCTTGGTCTCTGGTCAGGGGCTGCCCCAACTGTCATGCGGAATGGTATAAACCAGGCTGCCATGTTTACAGCCAAGAACTTTTTTGATGGGATCTTGTGGAAAAAACATGACGGTGATGGGAAGGTACTCCAACCATGGCAGTCTATGATATCTGGATTTCTTGCGGGAACTGCTGGGCCTTGTTGTACTGGTCCATTTGATGTTGTAAAAACAAGGCTGATGGCTCAAAGCCGGTCTGGGGGTGAGTTGAAGTACCGAGGTATGTTTCATGCTATCTCAACAATTTATACAGAGGAAGGGCTACTTGCTTTGTGGAAGGGACTGCTGCCCCGGCTGATGAGGATCCCACCTGGCCAGGCCATAATGTGGGCAGTGGCTGACCAGGTGACTGGCTTTTACGAGAGAAGATATATACAGAGGGCACCCTCATAGACGCCCTCCATATTGTTTTTTACTTTTTCTATCTCGAGCATGAAGTCACATGAGTTTTTTGAGTGCCTCTTCACTTCTTTTGGCTTCCCTAAAACTATTGTGGGAATTACAGATAATTTTTTTATTCCTGTTTTGTTTCATACTGCCATTAAAATGGCTGCTGAAACCCACATTTGCTGTTGCCCTGGACCTCTTAGATCTTATTTGGGTGGTGCGTAGACAGAGCGCTCTAACGAAGAAACTTTCATCAGCAGAGTTGTGCGTTTGTATGAGGACAGATAGGTTGAGCTGTAATAGGAAGCACTAGGAACCATTTTATTTCAAGAACATTTGTTGAACTTTCATAATTGTCAGCTGTAGTAGTTTGTGGCTCTAATAGATATGCTCTTTGCCTCATCAGGAACGCAAATTTTGTTTTCTCATTTGGCATTTTTATCAGTCTCTGGGTTGTTTGGGTTTCTAAGTCATGTTAATAAAAACCCAAAGACATTTGCTTTCATTTGTTTTGGTCCCAGCTTGTTGAGTGACTATGTTTTTTTCTTTTTTGGATGAGGGGGAAATTCCTAGCTTGTTTTCGGAGAGAGAGAAGCGACTTAATCAATCAGGCTAAGTAGAATCTATGGCAAACTCCGGGTGCATGAACCGGTCTTTCAACTTATACATCAATTAAATCAGAACTTGCACTTTACTGGAGATTCGAATCTATACTAGAAATTTGGATACAATTCGTCCAAACAACTAAGGTCCGTCCCCTCAACTAACCATGTTTTTATCATCAAGAAGATTATGTTAATGTCGTATAGAACCCATGGTGGTGAAACATTTTAAGTTGAAATAGATGAGTAGAACTGAACTCTAATATTTCACAAATGACATCTTTGTTGGGGAATGCTTGTGGCCGATTCAGGGTTTTGTTGTTGCTGTGGGTGCTTCTGTTTTTCATTAGTGTGAAATTGGTTTTACTGATTGTACACAAGATTGAGTCCAGATTACAAGTCTCTTATCGCTTGGTTTCTTTTCTCTTATTGCAAGCCTTCCCTCGCTTGTGCAAATTGTAGCTTTTTAATTTTTGTTTTGGTTTAACAGTTAGGGGTGTTCAGATCAGTTTACGCGCACCTCGAATAATTCTCTTATTAGTCCGATCAAATGCAAGTAATTCACGCTGGGATTAAAGTATTCATGATGAATAAATTTTTCATGATCTGGTCATAAGGAGTTGTCAAAATTTGAACTTGAAATATCTGAATTTACAACTTATCTTTATTATCACTTGAATTATCATTTGGTGGTCTCCCCATATAATGAACTTATTGTATTCTGCAGACAATGCCATTGAAACATCCCTACCTATGCTTATTTTTTGGACTGCCCCATCCAACAGACAGGTTACGGAGGTTCATGGCGATTAAATGTGGAACTGGTTCCCCCTTAGCCTTGCCTATTTACTCCAACAAGGTCGTTTCAAAAGACTTCTTCAATGTAATCATGAAATGTGGGAAAAGGATGGACAAATAAACTCTGAAAATGGTTGTTCTTTGAACTGAAAAAGTTTATCAATCACCTCTTTGGTAACCTTTTCTTTCTATTACTCACTAAAAAAAAAAAAAATCCATTTTCTTTCTGATAGTGATGTGGAGGTGGCCCTGGTGGTGAGATAAAGGCAGTGTATGTTGAAGGTTGTGAATGGGTGAGGGATCCATTATTGATGAGTGCTGGATTTGTTTATGAGTTTTGTTATATGGACTTAAAAAGTAGACTTGATAATCTCAATCATTGAATAGGTAGTGGGTCCCAATAAATGTTGAAATTCAAAGTAAAATTAATAGTTGAGATTATCAAGTCTACTTTTTAAGTCTATGTAGCATTACTCTTTATTTATATATAATGAATTTATCGTCCCCCACCCCCTCTACAAAAAAAATTAAATATATATATATATATAGAGAGAGAGAATTTAGTATTGTATTGCATTCAATTGTTCCATTGTCTCGCGGCTAATTTCAATTCTTGGAAAACTATATATAAATAATTTGTATTTTTTTAGAAAAATAAAATTAATTTCAAAACATTGCCAACCCTAAGGACAAGACAATACCTAAAGATGGATAAGATCTTGTCGCCCCACTTCCTTACCCAAAACAAGAGATAAGATCTTCTACTAAAGTGATTTCGGATAAATATATTTCATAATTAAAAAAAAAAAGTTGATTATTCTCAATCCACAAATAACATTTTGCTTCACATTTAACTCCTAAACTTGAAATTGGATCCCATCTATATTTACCCCAGTGACTAAGTCTATTCTATTAAGGAGTAGAGTCAGAAATTTGTTACAGAGTAGACACACGTAATCAACAAAATTTATTTTTTTCTTCAATCAATAGAAGTATTGTGGTACATGTTTTTTTTTAAAAAAAATTATTTTGCATATTTAAAGATTCATTAAATATAAAAGAATCAAACGTCAATATACATAGTTTTATGCAGATAATACTCAATAAAAAGAGACTAATTATAACCTTTTTCAAAAAATGAGGCTAATTACAACCATGTAATATAGATTTTGACAATNTATGCAGATAATACTCAATAAAAAGAGACTAATTATAACCTTTTTCAAAAAATGAGGCTAATTACAACCATGTAATATAGATTTTGACAATTTTTCATACTTCGAAAGAATTGTTTGATAACGTTATTAATAATGTTATCGAAAATGTCTTTCTCTATATAAGTAATTAAGTTAATAATAATCAATTTTTAAGCTAAGTCGCATCAATTTTGAAAAATTATAGTAATTTCAATCAATTATGAATAATATAAAATTGAGAATTATCGAAAAAATAGGCTCAATCACTAGTCGTAACTTTTTAACATATTTTTCACATTTTTTTGAGTGAAAAGTGTGCCCGAATATTTTTTTGCACAAGATTTAGTTGGTCTAAAATTATTAGAGTGGTCAAATATTTTTGGTTTGTGGTCATGAGATTAGGCCTAATTTCAATTACATAAACAAAATATCATAAATATACAAAAGTGAAATTTTTAAATTTTTTTTTAGGGTGGGCATATGCCTCTATGTCCCTCTGTCCTTGACCCTATCTATACTCATCTATTAATAGCCAAGTCTATTTCATTTTCTCATCGCCTATTATACTTTCTAACCATGAACTATTTCTTCTTTCCATAGAATTTTCTTGCTATCCAATCTCACGCGCATTTGTGCTGTCTATTCATATTTTTAATTTTATTACTTTTTCTCTTTATTTTTTACTTACGTTATTACATTATTATTGAATATTATATAAATATTACTACTCGCGTTTGTGATGTGGGTGAAACTTAAACGGGTTAACTCGAATTTAACCCAAAATACTCAATATTTAGATAATATTTTTAGTTCTCAAACATCTGAAAATTTTCCATCGTCAATTTCTCAAGTGAAAATATGGTAATCTTAATTTTAATTTAAATAGATTGTTTCATATATACGAATTATATTTTAGGTGTTTAATGTGCATTGCTAAATAATAAATTTTTATTCTTATATTTGTTTTGTTTAATATTTATTACGAATATTTTAGATGTATAATATTATGTTTGTATATAGGTGAGTATTAATAATTTGAAGTAAGAAAGTTAAAGAGATGGAAAAAGATATTTAAGAGGAGGAAAAAACATAAAAGAAAAAAAATTATGCACTCGAAAAATAAAGAAACACACATTTGAAATACATAAAAGGGAAAATCTCATTTTGCCTCTTGAATGATTGTCTGTCTGTTTTATACTAAATAAATAAATTAGGGATCACAAAACAACAAAAGGACGGAATGAAAATAAGACGGAGAATTACATTGAAATATTTTTATTTCTTTGAGAGGTGAGAAAATTAATTATTTAATGAATAAAATTTAAAATTTTTGTATCTTTAAAGTACAAAATGGAATTTACACAATAATAAAATTGGGAGTAAATAAATAGGATACACTGAGTCGCAAAGCCCTAACACGGAGTCTCACGCCAATCCTCTATATAAGGCACACGCTGCCGACCTCAACTCAAACCCTAGCTCCTGTTAGCCACCCCCTCTTTCTTATACAGACACAAGCAGTACGCGAGTACTCCTTTCACTTGTCTTCTTTGTTTTTTGGTGGTAAGTTTTGCTTTGATTTGTTCAAATTCATCATTTTCTTGAACTGATTCGATGAAAATGACTTGCTTTCTTGTTTCTTTTTTGGTGCTTTGCTATTGAAATTCTCAGTTTTGAGGATTGTTAAAGCTTCAGAACGATGTCGGATGATGAAAGGGAAGAGAAGGAGTTGGATCTCTCCTCTCCTGAAGTTGTCACCAAATACAAGAGCGCTGCTGAGATCCTTAACAGTTGCTTTCTCTCTCTCTCTTTCTCTCTATGATATATTGATGTGTGTGTATATACATAGAGAGCTATCGTTAACAGTTACTCTCCCTATATATGTGTGTGTGTGTTTCTTGGTATACGTAGCTTAAAGCTGTGTTAATTGGGGCCAATTGAAAACGAGTAAGTGAATTGAAGTAGCAGTTTCTCGTTATATACGTAGATATTAATGTTGATTCATGGAGTGAAAAGCGGAGAAAATGAATTGAACTGATTGATTGGTTGCTGTGGATATCATTTGCTTTGTTTTGTTCTACGTGAATTCATGTATACGCATGGTGCACTCTCACACACACGCACACTCACATATTTGTTAACTGAGATGTATAGCTTTTTTCTTTTTTAGTGAGACAGTTTGTGAAGGTTCTGAAACTTGTTAAAATATGCAGAGGCTTTGCAGTTAGTATTGTCAAAATGCAAACCAAAAGCTAAGATAGTTGACCTATGTGAGAAAGGCGATTCATTTATCAGAGAGTAAGCTTTTTGAATCTGTCCTGTTGATTTTTATGCTGTGTTTATTATGCTGCTTGTTGGTACTAAATGGTTGTACCTGTCTGCAATTTTTAGTCAAACCGCCAATATGTAC